CGGTCAGGGTGGCTAGGGTCTGGAACCAACTTCCAAGAGAAGTGGTGCAAGCTCCTACCCTGGGGGGTTTTAAGAGGAGGTTAGATGAACACCTTGCTGGGGTCATTTGACCCCAGTACTCTTTCCTGCCATGGCAGGGGGTCGGACTAGATGATCTGCTAAGGTCCCTTCCGACCCTACCAACTATGAAACTATCTAGCTTGAGCACTGATGGAATCAAACCTGTGACAGTATGAGCAGCACAACTGCTTGAGAAGCTACATACATTTTTAGATAGTCTACCCACCCTGAGCTCTCTGCTGCTATAACCAGATGGGTAGTTAAAAGCTAGCTTGGGGAAGTCTAGATAAGCTGAAGTCACTACTAGGTTATCAACCAAGACCATCCACGCATCTCACCAGAAGCTTGCAACTCATTTGAGAGACTGAACACTACACCAACCTGGCCTATAGTCATCCTGGCCAGCCGCTACCGTAAGCCTATCTATTGGTAATTACAACCAGTCCCTACTTCACTAATGTTATTTTTGGAGTGACACATTTACAATTTTTCTCACATGAACTCACCACAGTTATTTTGACTCACAGCACTAGTTGAGAACAAAACAAAGGGATATTTTAGTGCTAGTTAATTTTTGGTACTACATATGAATGCAGAGACAATTTTATCAATAATCCATTTTCTTTCATTCACTGCAATACAACATGATGCACATTCAGAACACAGTTCAAATACAATGTAATGGGGTTTGAATTATTAGATTCTGTAATTGAACTTACTGTGTAAATCGATAACATTTCATTTCTCTAAAAAGGCTGGCAATAGCATTTTAAAATTTGAGATGAGCTAGCTAAATTATTGATCAGATTTACATATGCATATGTGGATTTAACATTTACTTTGATGTTAAGAATCAAGGAACTAATTCATTTTCTTCTTTATATATTTTTTTCATTTTTGCTAGTTAAGCTGAATGAAAAACTTTGCAAACTAATTTATGACAGTTACTGAATATATATTTTAACTGTTTTACATAACACAAGAGAGCTATTTTATGATGATCCTGGTCAAATAAGATGATTAAACTCAATATTTCATATCCCCAGCTAATACTTCAATGCACACAGAGCTTTAGATGCAACGTAGCAACAGAAGTGCACAGCTGCAGAGCACTTTAAAAGTGCAAACCCCAGACAGAGCTCCCGTCCCCTCCCCTCCCTGCCCCCCACTCCCATACTGAAGGCAGCACCAGAGCTGGAGGAGTGGGGGAAGGGAGAGTGGCTGCAGACATGCAGCCCAGTCCAAAGTGGAGCTCGATCCCTCGACCCGCCAGACCGACCCAACAGCAAATGTCTGTTGGGTTGGGGGGGGATGCTGTAACTCATGGTACTTTCTGCAAAGCACCATGACTTACAGAAGGGAGCTGCATGTCTGTCAGCACCCTATATTGATCAAGGGCATGGACAGAGGTGATCCCAGACTGATCCCTACTTGCAGAAGCCTCTACTAGAGACATACTAGATAGGTCTACAGTACAATCTACAGTGTAGTCAAAACATTACTGAACTAGCTTTAAGGAAGAGGCCAGGTAAATTAGCCCAGGCAGAACTCCATGCATCTACTGCTTAGCAATTTCTGGGGCTCAAGTTGGTCCTCTTGTCTCTATCACTCACTGCTACCTGTAGTGTATCCAGTTAGTGTAGCAGAATATACTTCCACAGCAATGCAATTTACATCACTCAGAGTGATTTTACTCCAGTATTATAAGATACAGCTTTGCAATCATTGCTGCATCCACACCAAGCAAGATTTGACAGCACAGTGTACCAATATTACCATGTAGGTGAAGTCCTTCTAGTGTAGTTGTGATCCAAGTAGCTGGCCCAAAGTTACAGGAGGGAACTGAACCCAGGTTTCTAGATTTTAGAAACTTCTACCCATGAACCATATTTCTTCCATGTTTACAATCCCTATTTTGAGAGAGTTAAAATGGCAAATAGGCCATTTGTTAGACTTCTCACTAGGAAGTACCATCCACTCAGTGACAGAAAAGAAAACAAAATTAGATCCTAAAAAATCAAAAACTTAATGAACATGATGTCATTCCAAAATCTAGTGGTTAAATGGTAGGGAAATATTAAATGATAGAACATAAGAGCTGACATTTACCGGGTCAGACCATGAGCTCACAATGACTCCCAGATCTCTTCCCTGCATTGTTACAGCTAATATACCACCCTCACAATCTAGGTTTAAGTTTGCATTATTTCTGACCATGTTCAGCAATTTACACTTATCTACACTGAATTTCTTCTGCCATTTAGTTGCCCATTCACTCAATAGTGACCGATTCTTCCGTAGTTCCTTGCAGTCCACCTTGATCTTTACCACTGTAATTTTGTGTGATCAGCAAATTGGCCACCTTGCTACTCAGCCCCTTTTCCAAATAATTTATGAATACATTAAACAGTACTGGTCCCAATACAGATCCCTGGGGAACCCTGCTATTTACCTTCTTCCAACCCCAAAATTGACTATTTATATTCACTCTTTGTTTTCTATTTTTAAGCTTATTTCTAATCTGTGAATGGATGTTCCCTGTAATTCCATGAGTGCCCAACTTCATTAACAGCCTCTGATGGGGATCTGATGAAAGGTTGTTTGGAAGTCCAGATATATTGTGTCAGCTGGATCACGCTGATCTACCTGCTTTCTGACATCCTCAAAGAACTGTAGCTGATTGGTAAGGCATGATTTCTCTTTGACAAAACCATGTTGATTCCTTCCCAGAAAGTCATGCTCATCCATATGCTGAACAATTATATTTTTATTATTGTTTCTACCAGTTTTCCAGAAACAGAACTTATACTCACTGGCCTGTAGTTTCTGGGTCCCCTCCAGAGCCTTTTTTAAATATGGGAATCACATTGACAGCCCTCCAGTCCTCTGGTACCAAGGCTGTTTATAGTGCTGGGTTGCATACTAACTAGAGCATATTTATACATTTGAAATAATTTTAGGAGAACAAAATCAGATGAGACAGAAGAATTGGAAGGATTTTTATCCACCAGTGCTCACATGCAACTTCAGAACATTTCTTTACATTTCCCCCAAACATGCTATTTAATGAAAGGAAACCTAACAGTGGGACTGAGACTATTTTGATATAGAGGCACTGTTTTAAATCATCTTGAAAGCTAGCAGCCTGAAGTTGAAGGCAGGTGGATAAAAACAGGAATGTCAGGAGGTTAAATACAAAGATCAGCTAGGGGAGAAGGTGATCCTGTAACTACAGGACTAAACTGGGATTTAGAAGATCCCTGGACTCTGCCACTGATTTCGTGTTTGGCTCATTGTGACCACTGGCATTGATTTCAATTAGA